TTAAAACTCTAATTTTTTTTAGAATTAAGAAATATTATATTTATTATGTGATTATTATTAATATCATAATATTTTTAATTAAAAAAAATATTAATACTAACTCTTAAAATAAATTTAAATTTCAACTTTAATTGATGCTATTTTATTTAATTAAAACTTAATTTAAAATTCAAAAATTTATCTTATTCAATGATAATATCTAGGTTTAGAAAATAATTATATTAAAATGTGGAATCAATTTTTAAATTTTAAATTGAGATTTTAAATTTTAAACCTAAATTAAAATTCTAATTTTGTTTAAAAAAATCAAAACTGATATTTACTATTCTCTTTTTAATATTAGTACCTCTTGATTTTTTTTTTCTTTCTCCTATATATATTTATTTCATTATTAAATAATGTTATTTTCTCAACCGCCAGAAATTGACTTTGGGGGACATGGAAAATTTTGTTAGGGAATAATTGAAGCCCTAAAATTCAAACATGAGGTGGTCCAAATTTAACACATGAATGTGATATATTTGTCACATTTACAAAATGAAAGCTTTGTTTTTTTTTTTCTTTTTTTGCACGGCAATTCAACTTTTTAGGCTGGGTGAATGGCTTTAAAAGCCCAGAATCAGTGACCCATTTACTGAGTACAATCTGTAGAGACCAGTTTGAATGGGCTCAAATTGCAGTCTAAGACTCCAAGGCCCAAGGTCATTTCCTGGTATGTATATCGGAGTGCTATGGTACCGTGACACGAGTGCATAGATCTCATCATGGGATGGGATTTCTTAGGCAGGATTATCCCGCCACAGAAAGCCATAAAAAATTGTAAAATAAATATCTTTAAATATATTAATTTTATTTAATTTAATTCATAAAATAATTTATTATTAGTTAATAAAATATTTTAATATTTATTATTTAATAAATTAAAATTAATTAATAAATTAATATTTTTAAATACAATTTAAAAAAATTAAAAAATTAGTGATATTGACACTCTCTATGGTGGCATTTGACAATACCCACATCTCGATTTATCATGATAAGGAAGAATTTTTGTATTTATTTTGTAGAATATAAGAACAAAGTGTTTGTAATACTTTTTTTTTTTTAATTTTAAATTATACAATGAGAAATAATTTTTTTTCATTTTTTAACTTCCTTAATATGTATATCATATAACTTAAATTTAAGATATTTTATTTTTAAAATTACAACTAAATTATTTAGATTATTAATGTATTACAATAATTAAACATAATATATTAAGAAAATTTTAGAGAAAAAAATTTTAAAGAAAAAAATTTGAGAAAACTCACCAATAATAGAATCCATAACTTTAAGATTGAATTAAGGTCTT